TGCATTTTCTAATCCTGAGCCATGCTGATTAAGCCTTCACTGGCCACTGCAGTGTTCTCGTGTATGCCTGCAAGAGTTTCCTTGTGTTCATGTAGAATTTCTGCATCTGTATTCAGAGGAGAAATTAGTCTTTGCTTTTTAAAATATTCATGTCCAATTTTAGTATTAGGGTAATACTGGTCTTGCAGAATAAATTGGAAAGCTTTTAATCTTTTTCTATAGTCTGGACCAATTTAAATAACATTGGAATTATTTGTTTTGCTAGAATGTATTAGTGAAGCTCTTTGGGCTAGACTTTCTTGGCTATTGCTCTGGTCAGTTGCCCAGCACCCCTCGAGTCCCTTGGGACGGTCAACATCACCCACAGTCTCCTTCCCAGTTAGATTTTCAGACTTATTGGAAGACATTTTTATAGATTTTTTTGTGACATAGAAAGATCTGTATGTCTAGAGTCACATCTCCTTTCTCATGTGTTTTACTTGTATTTCCCCCTTTATTTCCTCAAAGTTTTTAATTTATTTATTTTTTGTTATTTCACTGTTTTGCTTTAATCTTCTTTGCTCTTTTTGTTTCATCTTCTTCACTTTTGTGTGTGTGTGGTTTCTTTTCCTGGTTACTTACTTCATTTAGTTTTAGTCTTATTTTCTAATAAATGCACTTAAGGGCTGAAGCCTTAGAGTTGGGTGTGGCTCTTCCTCCCCACGTCTGGTCCACTGGCAGCTCCGACCAGCCTCAACATGGACATGCACATTGAATCTGAGAACAAAACTTTGCTTCTGCTGTGCCCACCCTGGTCTGGGCCATCCCTGTCCTCCATCTGAATTATTGTGACATTCTCCTGACGGGTCTTCTGCCACACAGCAGCTGAGCGAGCCACCTCCCTAACAGGCGCTTATCCCAAAGGAATAGCATACTTTTACAGTGGGAGAACTTTTAAGGATCACTCTGTCTTCTCACCAGTAATGACAAGAACAACCCTACATACATATGTGTGTGTGTGTGTGTGTGTGTGTGTGTGTGTGTGTGTGTGTGTCTATGTGTAGAGACAGAGAGAGGAAGAGAGCGTGCATGACAGAGAGAGAAAGGGGCATGCCTCTCCAAGGTCTGTGGCTCCCTGGGTGGGTGCTGGAGGGTGCTTCTGGGCAGAGGCTCAAGCTGGCTGTTGTGCCCCTGCTCAGGGAAGTGTCAGCAGCTCAGCCCATGCCCTCGAGTTCATCTTTGAGCCTCTCCTTGGCTGCTCCTGCTGTATGTCTTTTGTCCCCAGAGACTCTGAAGTGGGTCAGAACCCTGCTGTGAAGCCACTCTGCTCCCAAGGTGAGGACTTGTTCCCAACTGTGTCTAGCCACACTGCTCAACCCAGCATATCCAGAGGGTCTGCAGTGAGGTCAAGTGACACTGTTATATACTGCAGTGATGAAATACTCTGAAATTCGTAATAGGATGCCAGCAGCATGGAGATGCCCTGCATTTGGATGTGGACCCCCTCCCATTATCACAGTCCTGGGAGAAATGACAGGCTAGGATTAACTTTATATCATATTCAGTCCAAAGGCTTTCGAGACCAAAGGGATTAAGGTCTGAAATCGGGTCCCATGATCTCATGAGCTCAGAAGACACCTCACTGACTTTTTATTCTGTGACTCTCAGCGGGAGGGTGTCCATATAGGGTCAAGTCTGGGCTCAATCAGCAGCCATGTCCAAGATGTGTAACCTAGATGTCCATGTAGGTTTTTCAGGGCCTCAGATGCTGTGTCATCCCCACACAGGCTCCCTTGGGCCTCCGAAGACCAGGCAGCCTCCTTGCAATGGAGTTATCTGTTCAGGCAGAAGGATGCCAAGGCCTTCCACAGAGCCCAGAGGTGTCTGAGCAGAGTCTGATGTTGAGCAAGCCTCACCTTGGCTCTCTGGTTATGTGGGAAGGGCTACTGCACTGGCCTTGAATCCATGACCTTAAAACGCAAGCTCAGCCAGGAGCTCAGCCTCCCAGCTACAGGTGAATTTTGGTCCTCGGCATTTACGATACTAATGTTTGTTTCCCCCTGAAGCACCGATGCTCTTTGGTTTGTGATTGAGGGTGGCCCCATCAGTGATAGGTGCCCCCACTTTCCTGTGATTAGGTATTTTTGGTCCCCTAGTGCTTCTTGCCAGAGTCCCACCCACGTCTCTTGAATGTCGACACCATCCCTGGGCAGCTGCAGAGCCAGGCAGAGGACCTGCTGAGGGGAGCCTGGAGTCTGGGGAGAAGCTACAAATTCCTGGGTTTGCCCTTTTAGTTCCCTCTGAAGAGCTGAGCATGATGGATGTGACCTAGGCCTGGTCCTCCCACTCTGAGGGACTCAATGACCAGGCCTGACAGGTCCGGTGATGGGCCCATTTGCTGACAAGCAGACATTTTTCCCACCAAGTCACGGAGGAAATGTCCTTCCCAGAGCCCTTGGCCCCTGCCAGAGGTCCCAGAGCCCTCACCTTTTCCAGGCCCCTTGAGATGAATTCTGTTGCTGTATTGGAGTCTGTCCTGGCGGTGGTGCTCTGGGTCAGCCCAGCCTCCTGGAGCAGTGGGGACACTGAAGAGCACTCCAATCTGTAGAAGCCACTCTGCACTTGAGGACAGAGCTGCCATAGATGTCAGGGGTCCATCAGGGTCATACTTCTCTTGGCTCTGGTGTGTGACACAATCCTGCACATTCAGATCAAACTCCTCCAGTGGACTTATTCTGAGCCCCTCAGTGCCAGTCACATGCTTGTTCTCTTGATGTTCTCAGCCTGTGGTGAGGTTTCCATTGGTAACATCTTCTTCCCTTCTCAGATTCTGAACAGGTTGACCGTTGAACAAAGAGGCAGCCAGCGGGGAGAATGCCTGTTGGTGGCAGGAGCTGCCCTTGAGGCCTGTGCTTGGATGGACTGGCACAAGGTGCCATGTCCAGTACTCATGTCCCATTCTGGTCCCCAGAGGTAGGCTGAGCCCCAGCGTGGTCAAGGCTGTGCAGGGCCGGCTCCAGAGAGCAGAGAACATGAGCATACTCCCCGTCCAGGCCAAGAAGCAATGGTGCACATCTCTGGTTCTTCCTGCTTTTCTTCCATAGCACGCTTTTTGGGTGCCCTTAGATGACCATGGACAATAATAATTTCACTACTGTGATAATAATCCCAGTGACTAGGATTTCCTGCACACTCACTGTGCCGAGCTCTGTCCTAACTCACATGTTCCCTTGTAATGGTCCCAGGACAGCTGTCCTGATACTGTCCTACAACAAAGCAGGGCATGGCAAGCCTGCATGGGCCTTCTTAGTATGTGGCAAAAGTCAGCTGAGTATTGTCCACAGGGTATGACCATCAGCCTTCCCAGACAAGTGAGGAGTCTGCAGTGAGGCCCTGTGGTTTGCAGCCGGTAGAGGCCAGGGCCAGCTTTGCCAGAGGCTGGTTCACGGCTGATGAGGCTGCAACTGAGAGCTTTCTGGCTTGACACATGCAGTAGAAACGTGTTTGACATGTACTTAACCTGCAGTTCTGGGTAGAAAGAACCCTGGGACTTAATATTTAAGAGCAACTTGATTATATCACTGTAGGAGCCCAGATGTAGTTTTATGGATATGCTTTTGTCTTTTATTTTTAAAAGTGTATATCTTTTCCCTGGCCGATATAATTTTTCTGGGGGCTTTACCCTTTGATCTACACTGGAAAAAATGTTACCATTTTAAGACCTCTTAAAACATGTCTTTGGATTTATTGTCTGTACAAATGGAAATTCACATAATAGTTCTGTTCTTAACTGAAGAAAAACAGGAAAAGAAAATAAATTTCTCGCTGCTTGGAATGATAAACAAGGTGCGGCATATGCCGAATATCCTGGCAACAGAAATTCAAGGTCGGAAATAATTCCTTTCCTCCTGAGCCTGCCTCCGCATCCCTGAGGAGTGCAGCGGCTGAAATTTCTACTAATTGTAGCCGTAATTTTAGCATGCAATTAAACACATGATTTCCTTCCCAGCTGATGTCTCTTTAGCTAGTTTGACATGGATAAAACAAAAGCTCTGTTGCTTTGAATGGCCACTTTAATCTCTTAGGAGGTCACTGTAAGTCACCATGACTTGAGCACGTTCGTCTCCCTGGTGGGAACTAGATCAATCTTGCTTATAAAAATGACCAACAGCTTGGGTGCTTCTTCTTTTTTTTTTTTTCAGTTGGAGTCTCACTCTGTTGCCCAGGCTGAAGTGCAGTGGCACGCTCACGGCTACCCCAGCATCGACCTGCTGGGCTCAGGCGATTCTTCAGCCTCAGCCTTACAAGTAGCTGGAACTATAGGCGTGCACTACCACACCTGGCTAATTTTTTTTTATTTATTGTAGAGATGAGGTCTCACCAAGTTGCCTAGGCTTTTCTTGAACTTGTGGACTTAGGCAATCTGCTCACCTCAGCCGCCCAAAGTGCTGGTATTATAGGCTTTAGCCACCTTGCCTGGCCACTTGGGTGCTTCTAATATGATTTCCAATCCTACCATCTACGGACTGAAGAAAACCAACAGTTGGTGTGCCCATCTTGCCGAGTCCCCCTGAGAGTAAGGATTGCTGGAAGGGGGAGACTCAGAGGTGGACATTGTGGGTCATGGTGGTGGCAGCAGAGGCTCAAGAGGTCACCTGGGTGTGGAGGGACCCCTGGACATGAGGCTCACCTGAGAGTAGCGCCCTCCATGGAGGAGGAAGGAAGGACTATACTGAATGCAGCGCAAGCATGGCCTTCCAGGGTAGCCATGGGTTTACCTTGCCTCTAGTAACTTTTATAATCCTGGTAACCCATGCTCTTTCCACGCTTGGTGTCACCAGACCTTTCTCATCAAGCCTGCTGGGCTTGTAGCAGCAGCTGTGCTGTCTAATCCTGCCTCTCCCCTGATCCTTGGGGTCAACCCCATTCCCCAGGTCTCTGATCACACTGATCTGGGTGTGCTTTTCCATGGGTTAATCTGGTGTCTCCATCTCTTGTAACTGTTTGGATTGCTCTTTCAGATGGCAAGTTTGGGGCCTACATGCAGGTGCACATTCAGAACGACGGGCCTGTGACCATAGAGCTGGAATCACCAGCCCCCGGCGCTGCTACCTCTGACCCAAAGCAGGTAAGCTGAAGTCAGGTGCTGGGCTCTGTCTCTTGGGTGCCTGGAACACCTTTTTAGTCCCTGAGCAGGCCTGAGACTGAGGTAGAGAAAACACTTCATCGCTGTAACCTCATATTTATTTTGCCACCTCCCATCCCAAGAAGGCATGCATCTCCTGAGTCCTGTGGCCGGTGGGACAGCTCTGCTCCTTTGCCTCCACCTGCCTTTGGATTCCAGAGACAACATCCCTTTCTGCAGAGCCAGCTTCTTCCTCAGGGCTTCTGTTCCCTGGGCCAGGTGTCATGATGCCCACCTGCCCCTGGGTGGCAGCAGAGCAGCGGCCCTAGACAGGCCAGTTCTCGGATTCCAAAAGGTTACCTGGAGTGGGTTTTGTCCCAGGTGTGGGTAGATGGGCCACCCAACGTTCTTTATAAATCCTCATTTTTGTAAAGCAACTCGGTAAGCTTTCAGAAAAAAAGCAATTACGATAGAGAAAGGGAATGTGTGATAGACCTTGCAACCCGTGTAATCTCAGAGATGCTTAGCACTTTTAAAGGCTTTAGTTAATGCGCCTACTTGGTAGAGACATGTGGGGCCTGGCAAGCAGAGGAGTAAAGCTAAGGGAACATTCTTGTTCTCTTCCTCATCCCCCTGCTAAAGGATGCAGTGGAGTGATACAGTGGCGACAGCAGCAGGACTGAACTGGAAGCTGCATGACCTGTTCAGAGCCAAGCTTTTAGAGGGGAACACTGCCTTTCCTTTTTGTTGCTGACTCTTTGTGTTGATGGTGAAGTGGTTTGTGTCTGATGCTGCAGGCTAGACTTCAAGATGGAAACTGAGGGGCCTGAAATTACTAATTAAATCAGAATCACAAATGAAAGTCCACATGAAAACAAGCTTTTTATTGTGAAATAATTAGGGACTTAAAGAAAAGTTGAAAAAAACAGAGTTTCCATGTACTCCTCACCAGCTTCCTCTAATTTCAGTGTTGTATATAACCACAGTGCAGTGATCAAGACATTGAAATGAATATGGATATGATACTGCTACTACATTTCAAACCTTATTTGAAATTCACTACTTTTTTTAATGTACTTTTTCTGTTCCAGGATAATACAGGACCGTACATTGCATTTCATTGTTATTTTGCCTTTGTCTCCTCCAGTCTGTGACAGTTCCTTAGCCTTTCTTTGTCTTTCATGACCTTGACACTTTTCAAGAGTATGCGTGTGCTATTTTGTAGAATGTTTCTCACTTTGAGTTTCTGTGAGTATGCTGAGGTTATGTATTTCAATAGGACTGGCAAAGAGCACAGACGTGATCTTGTACCCTTCCTAGTACAGCATATCAGGAGGGTCGTGATGTGGATTTGTCTTATCACAGGTGATGCTAACCTTGGTTAAGGTGGAATCATCAGCTGTCTCCACCCTACGTGAAGCTCTAACCGTTCTCCAAGGGAGGTAAATCCTGTCCTCTGGCTGGTTCATGGCAACCAGCGAAGGAAGCGGCAGGTGTACTGACGCTGCTTCTCCATCTCCTATCTCCCCCAGTAGTAGAGCTGCCTTCCCAGGCTGAGGCCAGCCTCTCCTCTTGGGCCAGGACCAGCTTCATAATTTGAGAGGCTGAGGGCAAAATGAAAATGAGGAACCCCTTGTTCAAAAATTATGAAGAATTGCAAGATGGTGACAACAGAGCACTCAGCCAAGGGTGGAGCCCCCTGCACATGGGGCTCTGTGTGACTGATGGATGGCATGCCTGTGAATCCTCTCCTTCCCCTTCTCAGCACCTCGCAGGTCTCTCAGGTCTCCCTCACTCATCCATCTTACTCCTTTGGCTTTCTAATGCACTCAGATGTCTCCATCTGAGCAATGCCTCCATCTTCTCCCTTCCCGCTGTGCCCGCAGTGTGCCCTAAATTTTAAGGCTGTCACTGAGGGCCACGTGACCTCACCTTACTTTATTTCACGGCTGTGTTTACTGGGTCCCTTTTCTTGCCCCCATTGCCCACTTGCCCTGGAAACCCCTAGGCCTTGTTTTCAGGACTCCATTTTCTCTGGCTTTCCTCTTGACTCTGGCTGCTCCGACTGGTTTTATTTGATCATTATTCTGTCCTTTTGATGTATTATTCTGCTTTACCTTATTCAGATAAAAATTTTAGTCTAGCTCTTTTCATTCCAAATATTTTTTCTGAAAATTGTAATACGTTTTGCCTTTTGGGTCTTCAGCTTTCTTTCAGCTGGTACCATCTTGTTTAGGTCAAAGGGTACAAAGATGCAGTTATCTCAGATGAATAAGTCCAGGGACCTAGTGTTCAACATGAAGACTGTCATAATAATGTCGAATTGTATCTGGCAAATTTGCTAGGAAAGTAGATTGTAGGTGTTGTCCTCCCCCACACAAGTGAAAGGTAACTGTGGGATGATGAGTGTGTAATTTGCTTGACTGTAGTAATTGCTTCTGATAGACATCGCTGTGTATATGTATATCAAAGCATTACACCATATGTCTTATGTGTATATAAGACATCCCCAACCCCAACAAAACCAAATAGGCATTATTTTTAACTTCTAATGGGCTGTGTTAACTTATTAGGATAAGAAAGACTTCTAGTTGTTTCTAAACTTTTGGAAGCTTGCTCTACAAAGGTGGCAATCATCCTAAGTTAGTTTCAGGTATGTGAACCAGTTTCCTGACCCCGAGAAGTCTTAGGCTCTGGAGAACTGCATGGTTCACTGTCCTCCAGCCTCAGCAGGTGGCAGCGAGAAGGTGTGGAGGGGTCTGTGTGAGGCTGGTGCTGACCTTTGCCTCAGGCTTCCCTCTGCCTCCCCTTCTCAATTGGAAGGGGCTCCCTCTTTGAGCGGATTGCTAATTTGCCTGCTTTTGTGTTGATAGGAAGAGCACAGCCAGATTCTGTTTACCAATATATAAACATGCATTTCTACCAGTTAAGCTTTTAATTCTTAAGTGTTTTATTTTTTAACGCATTAAGTTCCAACTAGTAATGAAAACTGCTACAATTACATTGCAGAAAAATGGTTCTTTTGGCAAGTGGTTTTAAAATATAAGTTCTTTAAACCATCTGCACAAATGAACAGAGAGAGTGTGTGTGTGCATGTGTATACATTATATGTGTGCGGGGCTGTGTATGTGTGTGTGTATCCCTGTGTGTGTGGGCGCCTATGAGCGTCTATATAAGCATCATGTGTCATTGGGTGCACAGTGGTGTGTTGGGCACTGTGAGGAAGAGAAGGAAGTGCCAGCACCCTGCCTGTGTGCCTGGGGTAGATTGGGGGCAACATAAACCTGGAAGGTCAGCAGCAGTGAAAGAAGTGATGCACAGCATAGCACAGCGCAGGAAGGTTGCAAGGCCCTCCAATTGGTGATCCTCCTTTGAACCCTCCAGTGCCTTCCTTAACTGAAATCCCCAGTTCCTCCCTGAGTGGCCAGGTGTCCATGGCTCCGTGGCCATCTGTCCTTCCATCCCTATGCATCACCTATTTGTTCCTTCTCCCCCTACTGAGAGGAGTTCAAGCCCTTTCCTGCCTCGGGCTCTTGTCTCAATTCCAGGGTCTCCTCAGAGGAGAGTCTCTGACCCCTGCAGTCCCCAAGAAGCCCCACTGGTTGTTCCATCTCGTTGCCCTAGTGACCTACTTCACAGATGTGGCACCATCTGCGATCATCTGCTTGCTTCCTTACTTCTCACCTGTCCACACCCCTCGTCAAACTCAAGGTCCCTGAGTCCCGTTCACTGCCCCATCCCAAGAGGGTTGTGAGAGTGTCATTTGTTTAGGAATAGTACCTTGTGGCTGGAGGATTGTGCTGTCCATGAATGTCCTGGATTCAGAGGAGGCTGATGCCACTGCTGCCGCAGTGGAGCTGGATGGGCCTCCCAGGGGACTGGAAGTTTTAGCTGGCCTTGAAGGATGCAGAGTGGAGAAAGGATTCTCAGTTGTTGCTTGCGATTTTGTACTTTAGATAGGAGTAGACCTTTATTTCTAAGAGTCCCAGAGCTCCATGTTGGTGACGCAGCATCTGCTGGTGAAGGCTGGGCAGACAGGGTCACCAGTGCTTTGCTGGAACCAGATCTTTGCTTGTTCTCAAAACTGGGCTCTGCAGTGTCTGTGTGTTTTCTGTGGCTGCATGGCTGCATGCCTGTTGCACTTTTAAGCTGCAGTGTGAGTCCTGTGCTACGTCCTGACAGTGAGAAGAAGTGCATTACATTCTTGCTCTGAAGTACATAGTCCCACCGGGGACAGTACGTGGAAACATAGCAGAACCAGGTGACAGAGATGTTTTTCCTGCTGTGTTTTGTGGGAGAACACGATTCTGGTGGGAACATCCTGGTTATTGTTGCCTGGTGTGGTGATTGCTGGTGTGTGAGCTCTTACGTGGAAGGTTAGATATCGGGTATTTTAGCATCCTAGTCTGCCATTCCTGTGGTAGAAACTTATTCTTGCTTTTATTTTAATCCTAAGTGTCCTTCCCTGGGTGGGGTTGTTTTTCTGGGCCTCACGTGGATGGGGGAGAGATGGAGAATTTTCCTGGTGAGGAGGGCTGTTTCATAGTTGTCAGGCTCTTTCCTTGGGCCTGGGGCTCACCTAGTTTATGGTGTTGCCTTTAATTATTTACATTCTCATTTATTTAGTGCAACTGAAAACCTCACTAAATTGAAATGCTGGAAGGAGCTGAAAAAATGAACTTTTAAATACACATTGTGAAGTTAGCTCACATGTTTATTGACAGATCACTGTGATGAGTTGACCAGGGCCTTTAATATTACAGAGCTTTTAATTTTACCCTCCTCTGAATATCACCATTGCTTTGCCTGGAATTTTCTCTGTATACTTGTTTTATCAGCAAGCCTCCATCCCTGCACCTTGACCTTGGAATGTTGAGCCTGAGACATTTGTGGCTTCTGTAAGGATCTGAAATGTGTAGGTAGAGGGATGGGGGAAGCGCTCCCTTTGCTTTCATTATTTATTTCCAATAATTCCAGAGCTAACACATGCTGTGGAATCTGGA